GCACGATCCTTCGCAGTAAAGCACTATTTGAGCAATAGTGAAAATCAGACCTGAAAAAAATTTCAGGCCTGTACGGGATTCGAACCACTGACCTCTGCGATACTAGTGCAGCGCTCTACCAATTGAGCTAACAAGCCAACTGGGAGCAGGCCATCAAATTAATTCGACATAAACCCGTAGATGATAAATCAAACAACAACAAACATATGAAACATATGTGTGAACTGCGGTTATGAGACGTATATGAGCACGATCCTTCGCAGTAAAGCACTATTTGAGCAATAGTGAAAATCAGACCTGAAAAAAATTTCAGGCCTGTACGGGATTCGAACCACTGACCTCTGCGATACTAGTGCAGCGCTCTACCAATTGAGCTAACAAGCCAACTGGGAGCAGGCCATCAAATTAATTCGACATAAACCCGTAGATGATAAATCAAACAACAACAAACATATGAAACATATGTATGAACTGCGGTTATGAAACGTATATATGCACGATCCTTCGCAGTAAAGCACTATTTGAGCAATAGTGAAAATCAGACCTGAAAAAAATTTCAGGCCTGTACGGGATTCGAACCACTGACCTCTGCGATACTAGTGCAGCGCTCTACCAATTGAGCTAACAAGCCAACTGGGAGCAGGCCATCAAATTAATTCGACATAAACCCGTAGATGATAAATCAAACAACAACAAACATATGAAACATATGTATGAACTGCGGTTATGAAACGTATATATGCACGATCCTTCGCAGTAAAGCACTATTTGAGCAATAGTGAAAATCAGACCTGAAAAAAATTTCAGGCCTGTACGGGATTCGAACCACTGACCTCTGCGATACTAGTGCAGCGCTCTACCAATTGAGCTAACAAGCCAACTGGGAGCAGGCCATCAAATTAATTCGACATAAACCCGTAGATGATAAATCAAACAACAACAAACATATGAAACATATGTATGAACTGCGGTTATGAAACGTATATATGCACGATCCTTCGCAGTAAAGCACTATTTGAGCAATAGTGAAAATCAGACCTGAAAAAAATTTCAGGCCTGTACGGGATTCGAACCACTGACCTCTGCGATACTAGTGCAGCGCTCTACCAATTGAGCTAACAAGCCAACTGGGAGCAGGCCATCAAATTAATTCGACATAAACCCGTAGATGATAAATCAAACAACAACAAACATATGAAACATATGTATGAACTGCGGTTATGAAACGTATATATGCACGATCCTTCGCAGTAAAGCACTATTTGAGCAATAGTGAAAATCAGACCTGAAAAAAATTTCAGGCCTGTACGGGATTTGAACCACTGACCTCTGCGATACTAGTGCAGCGCTCTACCAATTGAGCTAACAAGCCAACTGGGAGCAGGCCATCAAATTAATTCGACATAAACCCGTAGATGATAAATCAAACAACAACAAACATATGAAACATATGTATGAACTGCGGTTATGAAACGTATATATGCACGATCCTTCGCAGTAAAGCACTATTTGAGCAATAGTGAAAATCAGACCTGAAAAAAATTTCAGGCCTGTACGGGATTCGAACCACTGACCTCTGCGATACTAGTGCAGCGCTCTAGTATCGCAGATACTAGAGCGTATCCCGTACAGGCCTGAAATTTTTTTCAGGTCTGATTTTCACTATTGCTCAAATAGTGCTTTACTGCGAAGGATCGTGCATATATACGTAAATTAAAGTATTGTCAGCAACAATAACATCGCATGAAACCCTCCTCCTATTTCAAGAATCTGTGTCAGTAGTGAACTACGGATCCTCTGGATTTTTCAAACGATTCAGTCAGGCAGAAAAACCGTCACAACTTTTTGTACCGTCAGCATCACTGAGGGCTATTTCAATGATTCTCTTTAAATGCTTTTCAAGGCACTTTCATTTTGGACGAGACATGATAATTGTAATTTAGCTAACTGAAGTAACATTACCACTTAATTGCGTGTGTATTGCGAAAAACGACGACGTGTGATATCAAAGATCTGAAAAGTTCACCACTTTAAAAGCTATCCTGTGTACTAGTGCATTCGGCCATAATTTAACTATGATTCGGCGGCCTTTACTTCTTTATTAATTGGATTTGACTGCATTTTCTTGGGAGAAATGTTACGTACTGGAATTACAAAAGTAAATCATTGCGTTAACTACGCATCAACTTACGTTATGTGAAAGTGGAAAAGACTTGTACGCCTACTCGTCTTTCTTAGACTCTCCGGCAATGTTTCCTTAATAGAATGGTAAAATATCGACCAAGAGTCCTTTACAAATCCAAATCGTTTTCCGAGAAAATGACGTCAGCATATATTATCAAGATTTTCTCGGAAAAATACTTGTTTTGACACATGATATAACACAAAAGCAAGCGCTTTCTGAGAAAATGATGTCAGCATAAGTAATTAAGATTTTCTCGGAAAGATACTTCGTTTGACATGTGAAATTTCACAGAAGCGAGCGCTGGAGCGAGTCAGTTGCCACACTCATGTTTTTTCTGCCTTTCGTTTGACCAGGGTAGTTTTCACTGAAGGGAGATAAGGAAAAATTTTTATCTCTAACAATTACATGAAAATTTTTCTCTCAGCTGTAACCCCCAGTCGCGCCAAATACGGCTATGTTACAGTTCTATATTTGATTGCCAAGCCTTTGATTTGGATTGAGACTGAAGGTGACCTATATCTAGTTAGCATGACAACAAGGTGATTTACATTTGAAGAGCAGCAACAAGGTCACCCGTAATAGACTATCACCTCCCTCCCGTTCCAAGGCTTGGTAAGACTATTCCCGGAAAAGCCAAAGCATCAGCGACGAACACGCGCAGACAATTCTAGGAAATTCGTTCTTTCCAGGAAACTAACAGCTTCATAAGACATCCCCGGAGACATCCAAAGAAAAGAAATATCAATCTTACATTATTGTAAGGGGCCAACATAATGATCAAAATCAGTGGCGTCTGTCAATGTGCTAAGGTGGCTTTTTTTTTTTTGCCAAGCCTTTGATTAGACCACACAAATGGGGAGGAAATGTGCGAAAGAATACTTTAGTTGAAAGAAAAGGGCTTCAAAGTCTTATAGGTGACTATGAAACAGTCCCAACTATAGATAGCTGGTTGATCAGCTACAGCAGTTCATTTTTACGACGAGGAATCGATCACGCGCATGAAGAATGCAGTACACAGAATGAACACTTTACCCAGAAAAGGTAAGCCTATTTTGATAGATTTTGTACAAATTTGCAGAACAAATAATTTGAAAATAAATGCACTTAAAGATCTCGCCATTCGTTCGGAAGCTGTTCGGAAAGTGTGACACGACAAAGCACATACTTTTCTTATTGTTGTAAATGTTGCTGTTCGCCATTTTGTATAGTGCTGCTCGTCTCTTTAGTCTGTTAGTGATTTAACGTATCAGTGGTATGGATGTAGTTTGTACAGAAAATACCCATAACAAGTCTCTATTATTTTCGGGGACAGAAGTATTATCGGATTAAATCAAATAAATTAAATAATTTAACAGGCATTATTGATTGCTCATCTACTGGAGTCAGTCAAGATCTCCTGTATGCTAAAGCGAAAATAAGAGAAAATACTAAATACTGAAAAAGCCATACCACTTTGTGGAAGTGTCAATTTTCGCCTACCGGCTATTAGGACTGCTATTGAAGACAGACAGGTACAGTGTGGATTTACTTGTACATATGCTATATTTACACGAAATTTCTTAATTATCCCGAGTGTCGGTAGGTGATTGTGTCTCTGACCTCTGGTGCAATTTCAAAGCACGAAGCCATTTTTGGCGACTGCCAGAGTGAACCGGAAATGTTCAGCTGTTTAAACTTCATCTCTTCAAATTTTTACTTACCTCATATCCTTAAAGGAAAAGCAGATGGAATGCATCTGAAGAATCTCTTGAAAAGAAGAAGACGTTTAAGTCGTTTTTCCGACAGGATTTGACAAGAGACATGACTTGGAAAGTGATAAAGTTGTATTGCCTCACTGAGTTGTTGTTGCGAGTCCCCTGGAGGATACATGGAAGCAACAGGTCGAAAATGTCCTGAACACACATCGGAGAATTAAATCAGTTCTTAGTGTTACGTGTTTTTTTTTTTTTAAGAAAGTACCTGACGACTAACGAGGAAGAATTTTTTTTCTTTTTTCTGTCACCAGTAAGCACAGCAGGCAGAAAATTTAGTCCCACACTCTTGATCACTTCCGACAAAATAAAGGACCTTGACGTTTGCCGATTCTCTGTTTCTCGATAGCTTTAACAAAGAGAACCTTTTTTTTTTGTCATTTACACAAACCTTCCTTCTGCACTGAGACATTTGTAGACACGGCCAATAGACGACAAAATCGCCATTATTTTTCAATTGTTTGTATTTTCACCCAAGCATTAGTCGATCTAGAAATTTCATGTGAATATAGCATATGCACAAGTAAACCCGCTCTGTAGCTGTCAGTCTTCAATAGCAGTCCTACATTCACATGAAATTTCTAAATTATCCTGAGTTTCAGTAGGTGATTGCGTTTCTGGCTTCCGGTGCGATTTCAAAACACGACTGAGCCGCGTTTGGTGACTGGGAATTATTTGTTAAATCGAATTTTCTGCCTGCTGAACTTACAGCAATTCTTCCTCGTTAGTCGTCAGGTACTTTCTTAAAAAAAAAGAAATCACGTAAGACTAAGAACTGATTCAATTCTCTAGTGTGTGTTCATGAGATTTTCTACCTGTTGTGCCGATACTAATGCATCCATTGCATCTTAATATTCTTATTAATAACAATGATTACTGATAATAAATTAAACAGTCACACGAACTCTAAATTATGACAAAAGATCATGTAGAGCATGCAACTGTTATACTGTCAGTAATATTTCAAGGTTAATCTACTTTGTATGGCAAAGTGTAATTAAGTTGCACAAGTAAAAAGTAGTTGTTGTCCATATTGACAGGTCCCTGTTTCAAGAGGGTGAAATTAAGAGGAAATGTTCCACAAGGACCAAAACAAATGTGCATAACAACATGCTCTTTGTATTGTCTGTAAGACTAGATTTGAATGTACCAATACATGTACATGTAACACCTACTTATCATAAATTTATAATTCTCTTAATTGCCTTCCTGATGCTAACCAGGAAAAAGTTACCATCAAAGCAGCATGCATGTTAAGTTTTAATTCTGTGAGTCCATGTTTCCTCTCAGGAATGTTAAACAACCCATTATTTTAATTAATAGATAGTCCCAAAAGGTAAGTGATCAGCCTTCTTTGACCCACATACTGTACATGATGTGTAAACTGTACACATCATGTACAGTATGTGTCACAGGTTTCATTTACAGTGGAATCCTGCTTCACAGGCGACATCTTAATACGGACACCTGCTTTTCTGGACAGTTTCATTTCAGTGTCCTGATGACACAAATTTTCTCTTACATCATCCTGCTCAATACAGACAGTCTTTCATGCCCCTTTTGTTCCATATTTGCCAGCTTCCACTGTTTTATCCTTTAAAAATTAGAAAAATAAAAAACTATGTTAATCTCAACATTAATTTTGCTAAAAAAATATTGTGTGCTCAGTGATAGACTTTACATTGTACATGTGGTGTGTAGTTAGAAAAAAAAATCAATAATGAATTAAAATGCATTTACAAAAATAACATTACCATAATTATTCAGTGACTTGAATTGCATATTTTTATTATTTTTACAGGATTGGTCACCATGTATCAACGCACACAGTGTACTTGCCTTTAGTTGGTGTCATGGACCATTTCCAGTACATAAATTCATTTAAAACTGTACCATGCCAAAATGTCAAAGAGGGATAACTAAGACTGTCAAAATGCTATGGACGTCAAACAAATATTCAAGTCAACAGAACTAGCTGTTCTTCACTACATTGTACCATGTGGCTGCCAAGTCTAAGTTGAGAAGCTCATTTGATATACTCATTTATTTTATACCAAATCTGAACATTATATTATTTATTTAATAACGCAATATGTAACTGTGCATTTTAGCATCATGAACTATATCACACCTATAGGTGAAACATGCAGTTTGTTAACCTCTCAGCATTGGTCTGGAAGCAGAACATGTGTGATGTATATGTGTACAGACAAAGGCACATACTAAATTTTCTGGGACTTAAATCAACACTCTAACACAGTGTCAACCTATATACATTTGGACATCGATAAACAACTTTGATACTTAACACACCAAAATCCTGAAATGGATTATAAACTGTACTGTGGACATGCAGAATTTTATGATAAAAAATACAAAACTGACAAAAAAAAGGCCTAGCCTGTGAACGAGCTCTCGCAAGGATGATGCAAACAGACAGTGTGACTTGACCGCCGCCCAGTTAGCCCAATGGATAGTGCGCTAGATTGTTGTGCGGGAGGTCGAGGGTTCGAGCCCTGTCCGGACCAACACTCAAGGTCTTAAAATGCTTGAGGAGAATTTGCTACCTTTCTATAAAATCAAGAAATAGTTTAGAGATTCTAGTCTTCTCGGATAAGGACGAATAAATGGAAGTCTCGTCTCCTGCAGGGTTAGGGGTAGGGGATGTTAATTTCCCACACACGAGATTACTGTGTAATGGATGTCCTAAGGTAGCACGGAAACCCTTAAAACTCTTGAACAAAAACTCATCTTTCAAACCGGCAGTCTAAATCCCACAGAGATCAAAGAACGCTTTTCATTCCACTAGTTTATTCGTGTTTTTCTCGTTGCCATGTTCCCACCAATAACGTAGCTCCATTTTCTGCCTCTAAAAGCACACACAACCCACAATTCCTCTATTCGCTCCGATGAAGGGCTAACGCTCGAAACGTCAGCTTTTGTAATCGTTACAGTGGCCAATTTACCATTTCAACCTTGTTGATATATCCTAATAATTGTTACCATTTATCAGTTTGGTAAGATCCTTACGCCTAATATGAAACTTAAACCTAGAAAGGCTACTAATTTCAGTGATGTCTTTTTTCAGTTTGACTTCCATAAAAATAGTCCAAGATATCTAAGAGTGTTTACCATACAATACAGAATTAAACCTAGGAATATAAAAATTTTGATTTCTAACATTATATTTACAAGACTTAGGACTAAAAATGTCACAAATAAAATCAGGAACTAGTGTATATTTAACCTTATTATATGGCTGTGTCTCACAAGGACTGGGAACTACCGAATTCACAAATTTGATTGGCTGAAATGAATATGGAAAGCGATCTTGATTTTCCCATCTAGACCGGTATCTAGACCGGTCTAGAATATAAAAAATTGGCATATCAGACACAGCCATATAATAAACATCTTATTAACCGAGCTAGGTCAGTCTGTATGGGAGAATCTTGACCTCGGTCACCGGTACAGACCTCCCTGCATTTGGTCTGTACTGGTGACCTCGGTCAAGATTCTCCCATACAGGCCTCCCGCTCGGTTAATAAGAACTAATTATACATAAGTATAACTATTTCTTGAAATCTCCTATTAAGAGAGATTTTTGACTGATCTTTTGGCCATTCACGAACTTCTTAAGACAAAAGTAAACTCACTTTAATCCTTCATCATCGTTTTCCAGCACACTATTGCCATGACCTAAAACTGACACTAAGTCCCTCGTCACTAACCGCGTGCAATGAAGAGGCACGTGAAGTGCGCAGGGTCGAGGAGAACAGACCATCTCCTACACTTCGATTCTTTTCAAGTACGATAGAAACGGAAAGGCTAGTTTCGGTCGATTTTATTTCTGAAATAAATCTTGATTTTACACTCAGAGTTGACGCACTGAATACAACCTTCGAAAAGACATGATTCTTAACGACCAACCACACTAGCGAAAAAAAAAATTGAAAAGGATGAAGATTAATATAGTTCAAATGTGCCATACTTCACATTTAGGAAAATGAAAGGCTGAAATATGACGTCCGAGTCTAAAATTGGCAAATAAATAGTGAAATAGCATAGCCACAGAATAAATTCACGACTTACGAATGAGTCCAAAGAAACATTTCATAATTTTCGGTTTCTACCAACTTCGTCATGCTTATAACAATATTCAGCTTCATTAAAACTGCTCCTGTTACCAAGTAAACTGTTTTGTTACACGCTTTCGGGAAAATCACATTTTCCCAAGAGTTAAGGTGAGAACTGAATTAGTTCATTAGTTGGGACATAAGAGATATACAATGTTAAGCGAGTAGTGATTAAATATATGGTAGAAATAATTAAGTTAAATATAGGACGAAAAAATCAAAGAAATATCAATTATTCGTCACAAACGTGAGAGAGATATATCTTATTAGACGTTTTGTTGTGTAGTATCGCTGATTATTATCCAACTACACTTAGACGAGTACAAATAACGCCATAGAAGAGTACAAATATCACGCCCTATTTGTACTCGTCTATTGTAGAGTGCCGGTTAACCAGGTTTTCTCGCATCGCGCGAGCGAAGAATTGGATTATAGTTACAAAAAAAAAAAGTGGTGGACAATTTCAATTTGAATCATATTTCCGACGACGAGGAGTCAGAATGGCTGGCAAATATAGATCCAAGTTTATTAGATGACTCGAACAAAGAAAAACAGCTTGACGACCAGAAAATTTCTTCATTTATTGAAGAAAATAGGAACAGCAACACAACGCGCCAATTCCGTCCCGCTTCGCATACTTCTGTCACGCACTCCTCGTAAATAAATATCCGCGAAATTCGACCGCACTGAAATAACAGTTTGGCGTGTTGGATAATAAATAACTTATTAGACGTTTTGTTGTGTGGCATCGCTGAGTATTTTCAATCGTTAATTGTATTTTGACTCGCCTGACTCGCCCTACGGGCTCGTCAAAATACGGCACAACTCGTAAAAATACTCAGCGATACTACACAACAAAACGTCCAATAAGATATAAGTATTTTTACGGGTTGTGCCGTATTTTGACGAGCCCGTAGAGCGAGTCAAAATACAAATAACGAGTAAAAATACACAGCGGTACTACACAACAAAATTTCTAAAACCACGCCAAATTGTCTTAATATGTTGAAAACCTCGAAAAGGACAACTCGCTAAAATGGGTTCTTTTCATCAAAGTAAGTGGTCAGATAACAAGCGATACATTGTAAAAGTAAGGTGAGGTATTTTTATTGAGAATTTGACGTATTTTTTTATTCCTTAGAGCGGTTGTAAATATTCCCGCACAAACTCTTATAATTCCGCCATGACTGTTATTGCGCAAGATGATCATCTCACAGCTGGAGCTTGGGCCGCCTGTGACTCAACATGGCTGAGTTCAATGCACTCAATTCAAATATGAATTGTTAATTGGGTTGTATAAGTCTGAACGATGTATATCATGCTTACCTTTACTTCTTGTTGAAAAACCTTTGATAATAGACGACAATTATATGAAGGAATCAGTATCTTTGAGTTTGACTTAAGATTATTTTGAAATGGAGGACACGTGGAACGTAAAAGGTAACTTGATCTCAGTTAAACATAATCTCTCTCAAACACACGAGTTGGAGTATTAGGTTCATTTTTTCTAGAACACAACTGACTGCTCTGCCCTCACGGTCTCTGAGCGGGACTGGGATTGTAAACATGATTTAGTCGTTAAGGAAGTTACACAGGGCGGAGAGTAAAAATCACAAATTTATTACCTTAAAGATCTTTTCTGCAAAACCAGAACTTTCACGTTTTAAACAATCAGTCAACTTTAAGCTAACACTGGAATGGAAAGCTAATCAAAAAATAAATCAATGGGATATCTTAAAGGGGCAGCAATCCATTGATCATTTTTCAGCCTCTAAAGGCATATCATTCTATGAGTATTTGATTAATACTAGTGGCCCATTAGGCCGGTGCTTAACTCCGGTTTCTGTAGCATGAAGCGACTAGGAGTATTTATACTCCCCCCTGGATGGGATGCCAGTCCATCGCAGGGTTACCCCCAGCATTAAATTGCCAGTACCCATTTAAACACCTGGGTGAAGAGAGGCACTGTGAGAGTAAAGTGTCTTGCCTATGAACACAACACAATGTCCCGGTCGGAGCTCGAACCCGGGCCACTCGATCCAGAGTCGAGCGCACCAACCATGAGGCTACCGCACCTCCACAATAAAGACAATGATACTAAGCTAATCACTAACATTATTGTGGTTAATTACCCTAGAAAGAAACAACGATATCCGCAATTAAAGCTGTCAGATAGCTTAAATGACGAGAACCTGCATTTTGTGTATGCTTCATTATATATTGAAGTTCGATCTGCTGTATTTCTGTGGCGTAATCTACCTCAAAAGAATTCATCAGGTCTATAATGACAGACAAAATTTTATTAGTCATCATTAGTTTTCCAAAAAACGGGATGTAGCACAAACTTTCAGTGAAGAAAGTATGCTTGAACTGCCTATCACAAAAACACATTGATGCAGATGCGCCAATTAACGATTGAAATAAGTACAAAACAATCTTTTTGTTATTAATAACTGAATGATACTATAATCGATCGTGGTGTTGACCCGTTCTCGTCAAAATCAAATCACTTTCCATGTGTGATAAATGATATAAAAAGCTGATAAGAAGTGAAAGTTATTTCTCACATCTATGCTCAAGAAAAGGAAAAAATGGGTCAATTTCTTGAACACACTTGGGAAGCTCCAGTTACTGTTATAGCTACACGATGATTTAAGATCAAAACAACAAACATCATTTGCTAGGCTCACAAAATACGAAACTTGCAAAATATAGGCGTGCACGTTATGTCAAACCATCAAATAAGGGGTATGTAATACTATAATGTTATAGTCACATAACAATATGGCGTACCTTAATTTCATTTTATCACATCGCCAGTGTTTCAGTTTAAGTTCTACATGGCACTAATGAGATCTAGTCACACTATTTAAAAATAAAACCATGTCGATCACAATACTGGGGGTTTACTTTCAGTCAAATCACTGCTTGCATTCCTCATCTTTTTGGAGGCCCTTGTATAGGTTAGTAAGTCTCTCGGCCTCTTTTCTCAAACAATCAGAAGATGCGCGAAATTCCTCTGCTAATTCGCTGCGGTTCGCGATTTTCTTTGCGCCCACATATATATCCAGGATTCCAGTCAGCACTCCAAAAGCAGCAAACGATCCGGACAGAGCCTTCGCACCAGTTGATCCAGCGGTTAGAAGGGTTTTGCCCACGACTGGGATGGTAAGACCTGGTGCTGCAGTACTTGTGGAAATACCGACATCTGCTCCTCTGCACACAAAAGCATTGGCCTTAATAAGCGCAACAAGCCTTTTTATTTCCTTGGCATGATCGTAGATTTTCTTGGCAACCTTTCCAGTCGCGCTGGCCATGTCAACAACCGTGATACCTTTTACTGCCACAACTTTTCCGTCGATGGAATCTGTACACGTTTTGTGCTTCTCCGTCTCTAAATATTTATCCGCTTCCTGAAGGTATTTACTATACTCGCTCAACAGCGAGTGGAACCTGTAGGTGGCACAGAAGAGAGATGCTGTGGCTTCATTGACTTTCCTTCTATTGCGCTTATCCAGTCCGCCGTGGACCAGGTTTGCTGTTAATGCTGTAGCTGACCCCGTTAGCGCAGTAATAGTTCCTCCTACCGTGAGAGCTAAACTGACTCCAGCTGTGACGGCAGCTAACGCAATACCAGCGATCGCAATTCCACCTCCAACAACAGACACACTTCCCCCGACCGTTCCTGCAATACCAGTACCTCTTGTTACCTCTTCAAGGCTGCTGGCACATTCATCTATAACTTCGAAAGCTTTAAGAACTCTGGCTTCGAATTCTTCAATACCGTAGCCTATGATGACATCAAGATAATTGTCAGTCATGCTCTTCCAAAACAGTGCCTTTTTAAGAGGGTTCGGCTCTCTTAGTGAAATTTTGAAATCGTCCCATGCCAGTTCCGGAACAATATACCATTTTTGGTGTTCATTACTTTCATCGAACCTTTTCATGAATACCTGAGCAGTGGGAGGTGTGCCATCGATAACATGATGACTCGAATTGCTTACAATGGCTCCTTTTTCGACTCTCCACTTTTGGCTGAGGCCGTCGTGAGCTTTCCAGGCATGACAAACAGCCCCTTCCTCCTTACTCGCGCCTTTGATGTCTGCGACAAGGTCCACTTTGCTGACCAGCCGACAACTCTCATCCCATCTCCACAGCTGACTTGATCGTCCGCGTTCTGGTTTCACGATCTCAAGAATACCCCTTTTCTTGCCATGTTGAATATCAAGAACCAGTTTACCTCGACTGTATTGGCTCACTATGAAGAAATATTTAGTTTCCTCTTCGTTACGTGGCTGCATCTCGGTGAATCAAAAGCTCTTCAGCTATTTTCCACGGATCAGTTGGAAGGAAGTAATGATTAATCTCCTCTGTAAAGAACGTAAGGATCGGGTCACTACCTAAATAATGAAAAAAGACATATCTCTGCTCGACCGGATCACAGACTTTTTATAGCCAAATTTGATACTCAAGCTCACTAGGGTAACATAACTATAGATATGTTATTCATCAAGCGTGAGGTCAGGATGTCTGGATATATTAGCCGAGTTCTTTTTGTGCGTGTGTTTTTATGGACTCAGACGAAGTCGAGGTCCATAAAAACGTAAAAATAAATAAATGAATAAATAAATAAATGAATAAAACGAAACAAAAAGCGAAATAACAAAAAATAACGAGGCTAATAATTTTAGGCCTTCTTGACCGAACAAGCATGGTCAACAAAGGATTTGTCATGTTGCAAATAGATCTCGATATAATAAGAATAAAGAATGACTCGTACGTTTCGAGAGCCGGGAAATATATCGAACCCACGAGAGAGTGGTTTGATTTTTTGTTTGTTTGGACTGTCTCAATCTGGGGTGGAATGTTTTCTCACGACCTCCTACTATTTAGCTTTATTTTGTCTACTTTTCCGAGCACCAGCGACTATTATCAGGTTCTCTGAAAGTCCTCTAACATCGGCAACTTCGAGCGTCTCCGTAAATTTACATACACTATCCAAATGGCACTGTGGTGGCGAACTTTTCATACTTTCATCTGGTCTACGTGGCGGCCATCTTGTTTTGGAGTGACAGCTTCGACGAATTAGTTACTTTACCATTCGAATTGGCTATCATACGAATGAAATTTCTACTTTTAATCCATCTACTTTAAAAATCATTCGCAGTGGTGATGTTGAATCTAACCCAGGCGATGAAATTGTCAATAATTCGCTTTGCAATACAGGGTCTTCAACTAATATTCTTTGATGTCTATTACTTAATGCCAGAAGTTTAAGGAACAACGTCTTTGACTTACAAGCCCTGTTGCTTGAAGATTATTTTCCAGTCATAGCTATCACCGGAACATGGCTGGATCCTAGCTTCATGGACTTCGAATTAGGTTTGAATAACTACTACATACACCACAAAGACAGAAAAGATCGTAGAGGAGTGGGTGTCCATTTAGCAGTACACATGGATTTGATCTCGGGTAGAAGAAGGGATCTGGAGAATGATGACAATATTGAAATCGTAATGGTGGAAATTTGTCAAACATCGAAGGATAAGGTTTTATTTGGAGTGTGCTACAGATCCCTTAGTGCTGATGTGGAATATTCGCTCAAATTACGTCAATGTTTGGAGAGAATTGAAACGACTAGATTTGCTACCTACTACCTTGTCGGCGACTTTAACTTCCCATGCATAGATTGGCATAGCTTAACTGCTACCTCAAGCGATAAATGTACTGCTGATTTTTGTGATATGCTTAATAATCATTTTTTGGTTCAATGTAATTTCAATCCAACAAGAATGCTAAATGAAGCTGATGGCAATATGCTTGATTTAATCCTGACTAAAACTCCTGATATGGTCAGTAATGTTGAAGTACTGACTGATCATTTTCCAGTTAGTTTCAATATCAAACTCCTATCTGGTCGTCCTCGTAACTCTGTCTCAAGGACAAACTACAACTTTTATTATAACATAACCAAAGTAAAGCGCGCGCTCTGATTGGTCAATTTAGCGTCCCCCATTTGCCCATGGGTGTACGCTGCTGACGTGAGCAAATGCAAAGACTATTTTTCCGCGCGCGCTTGTTTTTTCTGGTCACGTAAGATTTGTTAAATAAAAGGGAACTCTTTAGCTACAATGTATCAATGTTATGTTATAAAACAAATGGTAAACACCACAGCGTACACTATTGAGTTATGGATGCACTTGGGAGGTTTGCTAAGCACTCAAGAAGCTAGAGTCGCTCTCGGCTATCGCCTCGAGCGACTCTTACGCTTCTTTCGTGCTTAGCAACCTCCCGCGTGCATCCATAACTCAATAGTGTACGCTGTGGTGTTTACCATTTGTTTTATAACATAACATTGATACATTGTAGCTAAAGAGTTCCCTTTTATTTAACAAATCTTACGTGACCAGAAAAAACAAGCGCGCGCGGAAAAATAGTCTTTGCATTTGCTCACGTCAGCAGCGTACACCCATGGGCAAATGGGGGACGCTAAATTGACCAATCAGAGCGCGCGCTTTACTTTGGTTATGTTATAATAAAAAATGAGCTTGTCGCCATGTTGATGAAAGTGAATGGATAGAAAAGTAGCGACAGATTACTTGGTTCTAACTTAATGTTTGATGTTTTGCACCTGACCTTTCACAAATGTTGAATGCATTCCAGTAATTTTGAATCGGAGCACTTTCAGATCGAGTGTTGAGAAACCAAATCAAGGAATTTAAAACAGCAAATCAGAAGAAAGGAAAGTTCCTAAGAGCCAATGAGAACTAAAAGTGAAATTACGACATTCGATTGAAATTGCTCTAAACGACAAATACAATGATCTTATCCTTGATATTTTCACGG